TATATATATATATACACTAAAAGGGTACTCGTGCAATGCATCGAGATACATTTTGATTTCAGTATTTCATTTTATTCCTTTTGATGTCGATATAATACGGTTTTATGTGGTTTTGAGAAACCGATAGTATTCTTATTCTTGAATAAAATATAAATTTGAAAATATTATAAAATTTTGAGAAAAAAAATATATCGATATCATTATCAAATTAACCTTTTTAAAAATTCTTGTATTTTGGTGTAATTTTCTTAATTCAATTTTTTAGTTATAATTTAATTTAGGTTTAGTAACAAAGAAATTTAATTTAGATTTATTAATGTAATTTTTTATAAAAATAATAACTAAAGTATTATGTTATACTCCAATGATTATCCTAATTATATTTAGATTTTTTATATTTGAAATGAAATGTGTATCCAATATTTGATTATGTTTATCCGCAGTTAGTTATATGTATTTAAATATGGAACTTTAATAAGTTGTATTTATACATAATTTACTTCATAATTTACTTGTAATATTAAATTTTAAGTAATATGCATTAATAAGCAGTACTTCATACATAAAAAATGGTTTTTAAGAGTTTTTGTCAAATGATTTATAATATATATATATATATATAAATATAAGGTTGTCGAGTGACAAACATTAACTAAATAAGATAATAAGAAGGCGGTCGAATCATATGTGATTTTACACAAAAATCACAATATGTATCACGCAACTTCGGGTTGCAGGCAATGTGGTGTAAAATTACATGTGAGCAATATGTTTCCATATTCTCTTATTTTGTTAGTATTCTCGTTTCAACCTCCCTCTAGGGTTCATATATATATATATATATATATATAGAGAGAGAGAGAGAGAGAGAGAGGAAGATCAAATATTAACCATCATTTTTGTATTAACTTTGAAAACCCTCTCAACCAATCCATTATTTTTATAAGTTTATATCTTATTCATTTTACCCTTACAAGGGTATTCTAGTAATTGATTCATTTGTAACCCCCAAACAATTAATTGGGAGTTAGAAACAATCAAATCCCAAAAAATATGCATTCATATTATTAATTTTTTTTTACTATTGATCTTCCATGTTTATTTTTGTATGAATTCCTAAATCGCATAAGAAACACGGTAGTAACGATTTTCGGTATTGAGCAATTTGAACACAAATGAACCGTGAACACAATTTGAACACAAATGAACCGTGAACACAATTTGAACACAAATGAACCGTGAACACAATTTGAACACAAATGAACAACTGTGAACACAATTTGAACACAAATGAATCGTGAACACAATTTGAACAAACAGATGTTACCTTAATTTTGTGGGATGTCTATGTATGTGAATATATGGGCCAAAAATTGCACATATCATGTTCATTTGTGTTCATATCGTGTTCACGGTTCATTTGTGTTCAAATTGTGTTCATGGTTGTTCATTTTTGTTCAAATTGTGTTCACGGTTCATTTGTGTTCAAATTGATCAATACCGAAAATTGTTACTATCGTGTTTCTTATGCGATTTAAAAATTCATACAAGAATGAACATGGAAGATCAATAGGAAAAAAATAATAATAATAATATGAAAGCATATTTTTTGGGATTTAATTGTTTGTAACTCTCTATTAATTGTTTGGGGGTTACAAATGAATTCAATTTACTAGAATACCCTTGATAAGTGTATTTTTTCTTYCCAAAATGCCCCTTTCATCATTGTTCACTAGGCCTCATTAAAATTCAAACTTTAAAATTTAATTTTTTTTATTGATTAATCTTAACCGTTGATTATTAGGGATGGTGATTTG